AAAGGGAGAGAGAGTGAACAGGGGGAGTGACCAGGTGGAGAGACTGACCAGGTAGAGGAGGGTGACCACAGGAGGGGGTGAGGAAAGTGCGTCACCAGCCGCAACAGACAGTAAAAGTTAAAAACACTCGCCCTACCCTCCCCCTCCCCCACAAACCCTCCCCACCCCCCTCTCCCACCACACCTCCCCACCACCCTCCACCACACCCCTCCCACACCCTCCCCACCACCACCCCCTCCCCACCACCCCCACCCTCATCTTGCCTGGTATCTCTCAACGCCTCTGCAAAACCCTGTCTTACACCCACTGACCACCACACGCCTCTCCTTACACCTACACCTCGCTTTACACCTACTTGTCTCAACACCCATCCCTCACTACACCTCTACACTACACCCAGCCCTCACTACACTATACCCAGCTTTACTTCTCCCACACCGTTACGCAGTCGGCCCTCACTACACCTCCACACTACACCCAGGCCTCACCACATCACTACACCCACCCCCACACTACACTACACCACACTACACCCTGCTACCCCACACTACACCCCACACTACACCCCACACTACACCCCACACCACACCCCACACCACACCCTTACACTACACCACCACACCCCACACTACACCTCTACACCACACCCGCACACTACACCCCTACTACACCCCTACACCACACCCTTACACCACACCTCTACACTGCACCCCTACACTACACCCCTACACTACACCCTTACACACTACACCCTACACCACACCTCTACACTACACCCCTTACACTACACCTTACACTACACCCCACACCACACCCCCACACCACACCCCCACACCACACCCCTACCACACCCCACACTACAACTCCACACCACTACACTACACCCTACTACACCCTTACACCACTCTACACTGCACCCCCACACTACACCCCTACACACATACACTACCTCTACACTACACCCCACACTACACCTCTACACTACACCTCTACACTACACCCCTTACACTACACCTTACACTACACACCTCACACTACCTCTACACTACACCTCACACTACACCTCTCCACCTATTCCCACACACCTCTACACTACACTTACAATTCACCTCTACACTACACCCTCACTGTTGTCTCACGGTTGTGGGGTTTGTTGCAGCACAGTGTGGGAGACACACCTTGCTACACAGGCCGCCCTCCCATTGTGTCCCGTGCTGGCCTCTGGGTGTAGTGAGGGTGTGTGCAGTAGGTAGTGGTGGTGGTGGAGAGGGTGGTGGGTGGGGAGTGAGTGTAGTGGTGGTGGTGGGAGAGGGTGGTGGGAGTGAGGCAGGGTGGGGGAGAGGGTGGTGGTGTGGGGAGTGAGTGCAGTGGTGGTGGTGAGAGGGTGGTGGGGGAGGAGTGCAGTGGTGGAGGTGAGAGGGTGGTGGTGTGGGAGTGAGTGCAGTGGTGGTGGTGAGAGGGTGGTGGTGTGGGAGTGAGTGCAGTGGTGGAGGGTTTGAAGAGCAAGTAGTGAGGGAGGGAGGTGGAGTGTAACACAGCCACCTGTTGCGTCTGAAGGTAATGAATCGTCCGTGCGTGTGAGCATAAGTGCGTGCGTGAGTGCGTGCGTGAGAGTGCGTGTAATAACATCAACACACTCCACACATTAAAATAAACAATAGAAAAAACGTCCACAACAACACTAGATAACAGAACCCTTAGACTAGGGCCCCGGGGAGCTTAGGGCCCCGGGGAGCCTGTAGGGCCCCGGGGAGCGTGTGAGGATCATGAGGAGCCCTGTAGGGCCCCTGGGGAGCCTGTAGGGCCCTCGGGGAGCCCAGGGCCCCGGGAGCCTGTACAACCCCCCCACCTCCCCACTATTAAACCAGCAACACACACAAGGCTTCCCACGTTCCCAAACAGGTGAGGTGAAGGGTAGCAGTGAGAGGCCTCCCATCCCCATACCACCATTACCCCCACCCCCATAACAAGAGCAGCAGTTCGAGGAAGGTCTGCATTGCCTCACAACACACCTCTACGTGGCCTGTGTGTGTGAGACGAAACGAGGGGCGGTATGATAGAGTGTATAAATGGAAGCAAGGGTTATACAAAGCCATTACAAAGGTACTCAAACAATCCAACGAGGAGCGAACTCGTAACAATGGTTTTAAATTAGACAAATTTAGATTTAGGCGCGAGATAGGTAAACACTGGTTTGGAAATGGAGTAGTGGATGAGTGAAACAAGCTACCAAATATCATCATTAACTCGAACACGCTGGATAGCTTCAAACATAGGTTGGATGTTTATATGAGCAATAGGGGTTGGGTGTAAATGGGACTGCCCAGTATGGGCCAATAGACCCGCTGCAGTTTCCTCCATTCTTATGTTCTTGTGTGTGTGTGTGTGTGTGTGTGTGTGTGTGTGCAGGATATGTTATTTGGATTACGACGCACTACCCCGCCCCCACACACAAAAACACCATCTGTGAGGGAATTACTACACCACGTGAGTTCCTCCTAACACCATCTGGGAGGGAATTACTACACCACGTGATGCCCCTCATAACACCATCTGTGAGGGAATTACTACACCACGTGATGCCCTCATAACACCATCTGTGAGGGAATTACTACACCACGTGATGCCCTCATAACACCATCTGTGAGGGAATTACTACCCGTGAGTTCCTCCTAACACCATCTGGGAGGGAGCATTACACTACGAGTTTGCTGTTCACACCTACATTAATCTGTATGTTCCTTCACCTTTCTCTAATGAAGGCTTTTGTTAAACCACCAATGTATGTAATAAGTCATTTATGTCCAATGTATATTTTCAGTCTTCAGGCTGCAGAACTTTTCAATAAACCGTTAATTATGTTTTTTATAGCAATTTTTATGTCTTTTAAATGCTTAAAAGACATAAAATTAACATAATGTCATAAAACTAAGATATACTTATGTAAATGAGTGTATGTGTGTGTGTGTGTGTGTGTGTGTGTGTGTGTGTGTGTGTGTGTGTGTGTGTGTGTGTGTGTGTGTGTGTGTGTGTGTGTGTGTGTGTGTGTGTGTGTGTGTGTGTGTGTGTGTGATCATCAACAAGAGTCAACAACTCACCTGAGTATAGCACTGTTGTGGTCCTCTCCGTAAAACTCACCTGTGAAGAACAACATCCAATTAATATGTGTAAAACAAACAAACAAGCAAACAAACAAACAAAATAACCAAACAATTAATATATACATAAAAAAACAATATAAATCACAAAAAATAACACTATATAAATCACTCAACTAATTTGACATTTGATAATTACTTGAGCATTGTTGATAAGAGTAAACATACGGGAATTAATGAACAAGTTATTAGTAGTGTGTGTTTCAACTATATTTAAAGATCACAATAATGTATAACAACAACAATAACAACTATAACAACAACAATAACATGATAAAATAAAAATAATAACACCAACAATAATAATAATAATAATAATAATAATAATAACACAACAATTGAACATAACGTAAAACCTACCTCACGGAGAAAAGTACATACAGGTTGATACAGGTTGATACAGGTAGGCTACAGGTTGATACAGGCTGGAGACACAGGTTGATACAGGTTGATACAGGTAGACACAGGTTGATACAGGTAGACACAGGTTGATACAGGTAGATACAGGTTGATATGGGTACATAAATTTTATAACTGAACATCGGAAAATTATAACCAGACCTTAAATGGTCGTGTGTGTGTGTGTGTGTGTGTGTGTGTGTGTGTGTGTGTGTGTGCAATCTTCCATCCATTGCGACATCCACAACACGTGACTATCCTCTCTCTCACACACACACACACACACACACACACACACACACACACACACACACACACACACCTGCTAAAAACATCACGATTGACCTCGACAATAAACACCAAGTGAGGAAGTGGTCTTCACGCTTCATGCTCTAGTGACAGGTAGGTGAACAGACATACAGGCAGGCAGATAGACAGGTAGATAGATAGACAGACATATAGACAGATAGACAGGTAGGTAGGTAGACAGACATACAGGCAGGCAGATCAATCGAATGGTGGTAGAGGAGTAGATGTGGAAATTTGCCTGCTTGCTTGCCTGCTTTACCATTCAGGGGGAGGGCTGAGGAGGAGGGCAGGGGAGAGGTGAGGAGGAGGGCAGGGGAGAGGTGAGGAGGAGGGCAGGCTGGGACAGGTGAGCCGCCAGCCTGAGGTAAGACTCACCTTGGAGGTAGTGTCGTGTGAGCATCTCTAAGATCGAGTGGAGGTAGAGGCAGGCGGCCCTCAGGTAGGTGGTGAGGAACCCAGGGGACATGGGGAGTAGTGAAGATGCTGTCCCCTCACCTGGCCTTATTCTCACACCTCACCTGGCCTTATCTCACGCCTCACCTGGCCTTATCTCACCTCTCACCTGGCCTTATCTCACACCTCACCTGGCCATATCTCACGCCTCACCTTGCCTCACCAGTGCCACACCAGACAACAGTCTCACCTCGGTTAACACTGCCTGACTCTACGCTGCTTCCCACTCTGTCCCAACACTAATCAATGTATGTGTGGAGGTCAATGATCTGACTCCACACACACACACACACACACACACACACACACACACACACACACACACACAAACACAAACACACACACACTGCGCTGCCTACCTGTGTAAGTGTGCCTGTTTACTGACCCATTTCCTGCCTGCCTGCCTGCGTCGACCTGATTTCTGATTCCATTTTCTTGTCCTGCACCCAGCCTGCGTCTCATTCTTGTTCCACAATTAGCCTGTTGCATGTTCCACCCACAGCCTGCTCCATGTCCTATCCACAGCCGCCTGCCCCTGTCCCACCCACAGCCTCGTCCCTGCCCCACCAGCCTGTCCCTGTCCTACCTCCCCAGCCTGTCCCCGTCCTACCCCAGTCTGTCTCTACCCTACCCCCAGCCCACCTGCTGTCCTACCCCCAGCCTGCCCCCTGTCCCACCCACAGCCCGAGTGTAAGTGTAGGCGTGGTTGACCGACAACTCACCACAGAAACAGGTCAGACATGATGAATGGTGGGACACACACACACACACACACACACACACACACACACACACACACACACACACACAGACACAGACACACACACACACACACACACACACAGGGACCAAGATGGACCACTGTGCTTCCTCATCCTGATCAACGACGCTCTATCGGACACTCCTCACAAGTGGAAGTCGTGGATGACTGCACTGTGGGGGTTTCAGTGACAACATCGCACCAGACTACTCATCGCCAAAGGCACCCTGAAAGGCTACAGGCATGGACTACGGAGAACAAGGTCACCATCAACCACACCAAACCGAAGTCATGCACAGCAATACCGCCACCACTCCAGTGCAAGCCCCAGCAGTCACAGGTGCCCATCCTCTCCAGCTGGTGCAGTCTGCCAAACTCCTGGGTGTAACTATAGACAACAAACTTGACCGGAAGGCCCATGTAAATAACACAGTCAAGGTAGCCTCGTATCGTCTCTACATGCTACGACGACTTAGGTCACTTGGGACACCCACGCCAGAGCTGAGGACCATCTACAACGCCTTTATTCTCCTAAACTAACGTATGCGTCACCAGCCTGGTCGTCTTCTCTCAACTCCACCCAACAACGTCAGCTAGAGAAGGTACAGAAAAGGGCCTGCAGAATCATGCTCGGCGCAGAATACCCGGCTACACTTCAACGCCTTCCACCCTGAAATGCCATCCTCAGTGACCTCCACCACCAAGCACTGAAAGGCTTGGCAGTGGATCACTGCACCACCCCCGTCATCGCCACCTCCTGCCACCGGCAGCCCCCCACCCAACTCGCGCAGTCCGCCACTACAACAAAATTCAGCCCATAAGAGCCCGCACCGATAGATATAAGAACAGCACCATCCCATCTATTGTTAAAATAATAAACAACTCCTGATTTATGTACTGTACAGCCCTGTAAATGTATTCAACGCATATTATATCATTATGTCTAAATCAAATGTAAGTCTGTATATTTTCAGCCACCGGCTGCAACTCTATTAATAAACCGTTTATTATTATTATTATTATTATAATTACACACACACACACACACACAAACATGCATGCACGGAAGAGAGAGAGAGAGAGAGAGAGTCGGCAAAATGAATAAAGGGGAAGAGACAAGACTGGCGGTGAGGAGAGGTAACAGGTGAGAGAAAAGGTGAGACATAACACAGGTGAGAAAAAACAGCTGAGACACAACAGGTGAGAGGCAACAGGTGAGACACAACAGGTGAGAGGCAACAGGTGAGACACAACAGGTGAGAGGCAACAGGTGAGACACAACAGGTGAGAGGCAACAGGTGAGACACAACAGGTGAGAGACAGAAGGTCAACATACCAAGGCGCCAGCATTTACCACCTAAATTATTGAGGGGAAAACAGCCCAGTTAAAGGAGAGGGAAGGAGAGGGAGGGAGAGGGAGGGAGAGGAGGGAGAGTGAGGGAGGAGGGGAGAGGGGAATGAGAAGGTGAGGGAGAGGTAGGGAGAGAGAGGGATGAGAAAGTGAGTGAGAGACAGTCACCAAATACGGGCGTAGGATACCGTCATCAGAAGGACTAGCAACATCCCTAGCTGCCACTGGTCCTCCAGGGAGACGCGGGGGATAAGATCGAGGGAGTGAAGGAGCTCAAGTCCTCCTTCAACAGGTACCAGGTCAGCCTTAAGGAGGAGAGCAACCCATGATGGTTCTAGCTGATCAACAGGTGAGGAGGGAGGGAGGGAGGGAAGGAGAGAGGAAGAAGGATGCAAGGAGCGAGGGAGATAAAGGAGGAGGGAGGGGGGGAGAGAAAGAGGGTGGGGAGTAAAGGATGGATGGAGAGAGGGAGAGAGGGAGATAATGAGGGAGAGGGAAGGAGAGAAGGAGAAGGATGAAAGGAGCGAGAGAGAGAGAGAGAAGGAGGGAGAGGGAGATGAAGAAGAGAGAAGGAAGGAGACGGAGCGAGATGAGGGAGGGAGGGAAGGAGGGAAGGAGGGAGGTGTGTCGCAGCAGGTTCCACTCTGGGAAGGACAGCCTGCGGGAAGGGCATCCTACCACCAGAGCAGGTTAAGGACAGGAGGAGAAGGAGGAGGTGAGAAGGAGGGGGAGAAGAAGGAGAAGAAGAGGAGGTAGAGAAGGAGAAGGAAGAGGAGGAGGTGAGAAGGAAGAGGAGGTGAAAGAGGAGAAGGAAGAGGAGGTGAAAGAGAAGGAAGAGGAGGAGGTGAAGAGGAGGAGCAGAAGGAGAAGGAAGAGGAGGTGAAGAGGAAGGAAGAAGACGAGGTGAAGAAGAGGAAGAAGAGGAGGAAGAAGAGGAGGAAGAAGAGGAGGAAGAAGACGAGGTGAAGAAGAGGAGGAAGAAGAGGAGGAAGAAGAGGAGGAGAGTCAGCACACCTGGATAAAACATCAAACAACTAAGACAAAACATAAAGGTGTGTGACCGGTCCTGACCCCGTGAGTGACCTGGTCCACCTGTGTGTGACCTGGTCCCCTAGGACCTGGTCCTTACCTGGAGTGACCTGGTCCTTTGGGACCTGCCACCTGTGAGTGACCTGGTCCTTACCGTGTGTGACCTGGTCCTAACCTGTGAGTGACCTGGTCCTTACCTGTGAGTGACCTGGTCCTACCTGTGTGTGACCTGGTCCTTACCTGTGAGTGACCTGTCCTTACCTGTGGACCTGGTCCTCACCTGTGAGTGACCTGTCCCACCTGTGAGTGACCTGTCCTTACCTGTGTGTGACCTGGCCTACCTGTGAGTGACCTGGTCCTTACCGTGAGTGACCTGGTCCTTACCTGTGAGTGACCTGGTCCTACCTGTGTGTGACCGGTCCTAACTATGAGTGACCTGGTCCTACCTGTGAGTGACCTGGTCCTACCTGTGTGTGACCTGTCCTTACCTGTGTGACCTGGTCCTTACCTGTGTGTGACCTGGTCCCACCTGTGAGTGACCTGGTCCTACCCAGAGTGACCTGGTCCCACCTGTGAGTGACCTGGTCCTTCCGGAGTGACCTGGTCCCACCTGTAGGACCTGCCTTACCCGTGAGTGACCTGGTCCTTACCTGTGAGTGACCTGGTCCTACCTGTGAGTGACCTGGTCCTTACCTGTGAGTGACCTGTCCTTACCTGTGAGGACCTGGTCCTTACCTGTGAGTGACCTGGTCCTTACCTGTGAGTGACCTGGTACCTGATCTGATTAAACAATTAACTGTTAAATATGTCAGAGTACAGATGTTGAGGTGTGAGGGAGGAGTGGAGGAGGGAGGGAGGGGAGTGTGTGGAGGGAGGGGAGTGTGGAGGAGAGGAGTGTGGGAGGAGAGAGTGGAGGGAGAGGAGTGGAGGGAGAGGAGTGTGGAGGGAGGGGAGTGGAGGAGAGGAGTGTGGAGGAGGGGAGTGTGGAGGAGAGGAGGTGGAGGGGAGAGGAGGTGGAGGGAGGGGGAGTGTGGAGGGAGAGGAGGTGGAGGGAGGGAGTGTGGAGGGAGAGGAGGGAGGAGTGGAGGGAGAGGAGGTGGAGGGAGAGGAGTGTGGAGGGAGAGGAGTGTGGAGGAGAGGAGTGGAGGAGAGGAGGGAGGGAGGGGAGGTGTGGAGGGAGAGGAGTGTGGAGGGAGGAGGTGGAGGGAGGAGTGTGGAGGGAGGGGAGGTGAGGGGAGAGGAGTGGGAGGGAGGAGTGAGGGAGAGGAGGTGGAGGAGAGGAGTGTGGAGGGAGAGGAGTGTGGAGGGAGAGAGGTGGAGGGAGAGGAGTGTGGAGAGGAGTGGAGGGAGAGGAGTGGAGAGAGAGAGGAAGAGAGGAAGAAGAGAGGAGCAAGGCGAGAGAGAGGAGAGGAAGGGATAAAGGAGAAGGAAGGAAGAAGGGAAGAGAGAGAAAGGAAAGCATAAAAGAAAATGGTAAAGGAAGGAGAAAGAGGAAAGAAGGAAGATGGATGAGTGCAAGGAAGGAGGTAGGAGGTGGTAGGAGGTAAAATGAGGTAGGAGGAGGAGGTGGAGGAGGTGGAGGTGGTAGGAGGTGGTGGAGGTGGTAGGAGGTGGTAGGAGGTGGTAGGAGGTGGTAGGAGGTGGTAGGAGGTGGTAGGAGGTGGTAGAAGAAGGTAGGAGGTGGTAGGAGGAGGTAGGAGGAGGTAGGAGGTAGGTATTGTAGTGTAGGGAGCTGTACCAACCTGGGGTCCAAGATCGTTGTTGGGACCCGTGGATAATGGACGACACCGACATGACGGGCTTCTCTTCTGATCACAATCATGGTGGTGGTAGTACTGGTAGTTGTGGTAGTACTGGTAGTTGTGGTAGATTGTGGTAGTAGTAGTGGTGGTGGTGTGGCCTCCAGATCTCTCAGGCTACACACACATCCTTGTTTCCTTCGGTGGTGGTAGTGATGATGATGGTGGTGGTGGGTGTGTGACTATCACCACCCTGCACCACACACACACGGGTCCCCCTCACAAGGGACACGGAGCAACACCACGTAAGGTAACCCCTTCAGTGTCGCTCTACGGAAAGAAAGTCTCAGCCGGATCTGTTTTTCATGTTATCCGGCCCTTTAACTGGGTAATAATTCCTTCAGGTCACAGCGGTCAGTTATGTTCAAGAGTCACACGGTTGGTACACTGTTATTATCTCAACATTATCTGCGGTTAGGGAGTTAATGATAGCAACTGGAAAGGAAGATAATATTGTTTAGAATGATAACAGCAATACGTGGTGGCAACGGGTGTAGTGTGGTGTGGTAGAGGAGAGACACACACACACACACCACCTCCACTTGTTGATATCTAAAGCGATACAACGCACTTATCTCAAACTGCAACACCAATATGGCCCTGGTCTCATCCCCTCAATATTTACAACGATAAAAACACGATTAGAGGGATAATTGTGTCCATGTATAACGAGGAGGTGTAGTGTGGCTCGGTGTTGGGTGCGGGAGAGGATGATGGCGTCACAACCAGCAGAAGCCTGAGTTGTTTACCTGTGGCAGCGGCGCGGCGGCAGGCAGGCAGGGAGGTGTCAGGCGCCAGACCCGTTGACATAGTTTACCGCGACGCTCTGCCCGCCTCCACCATCGCCACGTTACCATGGTTACCACCCTCACACCCCCCTGACTTTTTCTTTTATGGTTATTTGATAATTTACTCTCTCCTGTTCGTTTGTTTTTCTTTTCATTCCCACATCCTTCTCACACCACAAACTCCCTCACTCTCTCAATAGTCACCCCTTCCATTTATAATGACCCGTCCTGACCGAGCGACTGACAGAACACACACACACACTGTACAGCCCTGTAAATGTATTGAACGTATATCATTATGTTTAAATCACATGTAAGTCTGTATATTTTGAGCTACCGGCTGCAACTCTATTAAAAAACCGTTTATTATTATTACACAGTTACAAGAATAGTTGTTGGTAGTATAAGTTGTGGTAGTGGTTGATAATGATGACGATGGCTGGTAGTTATGGTGGTGGTGGTGGTGGTGGTGGTGGTGGTGGTGGTGGGTGGTGGTGGTGGTGGTGGTGGTGGGTGGTGGTAGTGGTGGTGGTGGTAGTGGTGGTGGTGGTGGTGGTGGTGGTGGTAGTGGTGGTGGTGGTAGTGGGTGGTGGTGGTGGTGTGGTGGTGGTGGTGGTGGTGGTGGTGGTGGTAGTGGTGGTGGTGGTGGTGGTGGGTGGTGGTGGTGTGGTGGTGGTGGTGGTGGTGGTGGTGGTGGTAGTGGTGGTGGTGGTAGTGGTGGTGGTGGTGGTGATCATAATTCTTTTTATTTCAGGTTGCACACGTCAGCTCAGCAAGTTGCACACTGCTCAACATATTGCACAAAAGGTGTCAAAACGGCTACACGTTCTCACACCTGTCTCACCCTGTTACAAACCCAGCAAGGGTGATAACAGGTATGAGATCCTCCACACCTGCCCTAGGCCCCAGGTGTGTGGTGGGACAGGGGGGTACTACACCTGTTATCACAACATGTGCACCTGTCTTTCTCATCCATCAAACACCTGTGGGAGACACAGATGTTGCTGGTGGATTAGAGCTGTGATAACTCAACACCTGTTTGGCACCTACACGAGTCTGGCGCCAACACCTGGCGTGAGGGGGGAGGGGAGGGGAGGAAGGAAGGAGGAGAGGGAAGGAAGGGAGGGAGAGGGAAGGAAGGGAGGAGAGGGAAGGAAGGAGGGAATGGGAAGGAGGGAGGGAATGGGAAGAGGGAAAGGCAGGAACCACTCGTGTGGGTGGGTCGTTCCATCGGGTTGGGTTGGGTTAGGTTAGGTTGTTTAATAATCAGGTGAACTAAGCATGGGTTCCTAATCGTGATGAGACCCTAATCATTTTTATTACCTTCCGGGGCCATTCCTAACTGACTGACTATCTGAGAGAAGAATTCCTACGTGCACCCGACTCGTTGTGGCCATGGAGCCCTCAGATACCTCGCCTCACACGCTAATCAGTCGTCGCTACCGCAGCTTTATCACGTGTCACTACCGCAGCTTTATCACGTGTCACTACCGCAGCTTTATCACGTGTCGCTACCGCAGCTTTATCACGTGTCACTACCGCAGCTTTATCGTGTCACCACCGCAGCTTTATCACGTGTCGCTACCGCAGCTTTATCACATGTCACTACCGCAGCTTTATCACGTGTCACTGCAGCAATCACGTATCACTACCGCAGCTTTATCACGTGTCACTACCGCAGCTTTATCACGTGTCACTACCGCAGCTTTATCACGTGTCACTACCGCAGCTTTATCGTGTCGCTACCGCAGCTTTATCACGTGTCACTATCGCAGCTTTATCGCACCGCAGCTTTATCGTGTCACTATCGCAGCTTTATCGTGTCACTATCGCAGCTTTATCGTGTCACTACCGCAGCTTTATCACGTGTCACTACCGCAGCTTTATCACGTGTCACTATCGCAGCTTTATCACGTGTCACCACCGCAGCTTTATCACGTGTCACCACCGCAGCTTTATCACGTGTTATCTCTCGCGTATCTAGGTGAAGCGGCCATACAACTGGTAAGGTAAGAATCAATGAAAACTACAGGTGTGGCCAGAAAGTCATGGGCCTAGGGGAGTGGTGTGTGTGGCCAGCAAGTCTTGGGCCTAGGGGGTGTGCAGCAAGTCATGGGCCTAGGGGGGTGGTGTGTGGCCAGCAAGTCATGGGCCGGGGAGAGTGTTTGGGCAAGTCATGGCCCAGGAGGAAAGAAGGGGGTGTGGCCAGCACGTCATGACACAAGGCAGGTAAGAGAGGGTGTGGCCAGCACGTCATGGCCCAGGGGGTAAGAGGGGGTGTGGCCAGCGTCATGACACAGGGCAGGTAAGAGGGGTGTGGCCAGCACGTCATGGGCCAGGGAGGTAAGAGGGGTGTGGCCAGCACGTCATGACACAAGGCAGGTAAGAGAGGGGTGTGGCCAGCACGTCATGGCCCAAAGGGAAGAGGGTGTGGCCAGCACGTCATGACACAGACAGGTAAGAGGGGTGGCCAGCACGTCATGGGCCAGGGGGAGAGGGGTGTGGCCAGCACGTCATGACACAAGGCAGGTAAGAGAGGGGTGTGGCCAGCGTCATGGCCCAAGGGGTAGAGGGTGTGGCCAGCACGTCATGACACAGGGCAGGTAAGAGAGGGGTGTGGCCAGCACGTCATGGGCCAGGGGTAGAGGGGGTGTGGCCAGCGTCATGACAAGGCAGGTAGAGAGAGGTTGGCCAGCACGTCATGGCCCAGGGTAGAGAGGGGTGTGGCCAGCACGTCATGACACAGGGCGGAGAGAGGGGTGTGGCCAGCGTCATGGGCCAGGGGTAGAGGGGGGTGTGGCCAGGATGTAAGACTGGTTTGTTATCGTCTTGTCATCAGCAGTTGAGCCTCTCTTGTGTTGCACAGTGAACCACGGTGTACCTGGCCCACCTGTGTACCTGGCCTATCTGTCACTCGGCCCACCTGTGTCACCTGGCCCACCTGTGTCACCTGGCCTATCTGTCACTCGGCCCCTGTGTCACCTGGCCTGTGTCACCTGGCCTATCTGTCCTCCCGGCCCACCTGTGTCACCTGGCCCACCTGTGTCACCTGGCCCACCTGTCCGTCACCTGTGTGTGTGTGTGTGTGTGTGTGTGGTACCTCTCAAATCCTTCCCTTTTAATTATCTGCTACATCGTCCCTCCTCCTTCCCTCACGCTCCCTCCTTCCTCCACTCCCCTCCCTCCCCACGCCTCCCTCCCTCCCCCACGCCCCCCCGCCCCCCCCACGCTCCTCCCTCCCCAAAAGGTTTTAGAGTTAATTTTTCCTCCTGGCTGGTGACGCATATGTCTGCCTCACTGAAGGTGGTTGGTCACCAAGGCCCTATTTACCCCTCACACACACACACACACACACACACACACACACACACACACACACACACACACACACACACACGCTACATATTTGAGAGTTTATGAACATGATTGTCGCAGCCTGTTGGTGCTGGTGGCGTCTCGGGGTGAAAGTAAGAGAAAGGGAAGGGAAAATAAGTAACGGGAGAGAGAGAGAGAGAGAGAGAGAGAGAGAGAGAGAGAGAGAGGAGAGAGAGAGATTCTTTCTACTCCTACTGTATTTCAGTTTCACCACTTTTTCTTCAACCCCTAATAATCTTCTTTCACCTCATAATTCATGACTCTACCACCACCATGGTGGGGAAGGAGGAAAGCAGGAGAATGAGTGGATGGTAGGGAGGGGCGCACCTGTCCGGCCAGGCCAAGGAGGTAATTAGTTCCGGCAGGTGAGGAGGGGCGGCCGGCGTCGTCCATCTCCCCGCACGAGGAACTTGGTCTGGTCCTGCCGTCACAATACTCATGGTTGGTCGTCACAACATTCATGATAGGTCGTCACCAATGGGAGGTCGTCCAGTAGCGAGGTGCAGAAGGAGGCAAGTGGTGATGGTGTGGTGGTGGTGGGAGTAGTAGTAGTAGTAGTAGTGGCAGTGGTGGTGGTAGTAATAGTGGTGTTGATGGTAGTGGTGGTGATGGTGGTGGTGGTAGTAGTGATAGTAATGGTGGCGGTAATAGTGATGGTCGTGGTAGTGATAGTAGTGACAGTGGTGATGGTAGTAATAGTGGTGTTGATGGTAGTGGTGGTGATGGTGGTGGTGGTGGTAGTAGTGATGGTCGTGGTGGTGGTGGTAGTAGTGATAGTAGTGGCAGTGGTGGTGGTAGTAGTGATGGCAGTGGTGGTGGTAGTAATAGTGGTGTTGATGGTAGTGGTGGTGGTGGTATTCTCCTCCTCCTGGTGGTGGTACAAGCGAGGTACTGGACCCCTTCAGGTAGTGGGAGTAAAATATGGTGGATTGGCTTCACCATACAACCAAACAACAAACCAAACAAACACCTTCTTCTCCTCCTCTCATGGTAGCGGCAGCCCCCCAGGCATGATCTTTTATCACTCGTCAATTGAAGACAAAACACAAGAACACAACGCCGTGACTCTTACTTGGCCTTGAAGGATCTCACCAAGTCTTGTAACTCAATAAAGGGCGAGAGGTGTGTGTGTGTGTGTGTGTGTGTGTGTGTGTGTGTGTGTGTGTGTGTGTGTGTGAGGAAGGGTTCAATAGTTTACCTCGTCATCCCTCACACCATGAATGACTAGAGACCAAAGAGGTAGGTGAAGCTCGATCACTCCCAGGTGTGTGTGTTATCATGGTCATTAAGTCTCTCAGGTGTGATGGTGATGATCTCGTCTGTCTCTCGCGTCAAGATATTAAACAGATGAAGAGACTGTGGCGGGGAGACGGGGCAACAAGAGGGACGAGTATCAGTACAGTAACCGCTTCAACTCTGTCAACAGGACCTAAGACGGAGGCCGGGTTACTGTTGTCAAGGTCAGCACCAGTACATGACGACACAAAGGCTCCCCACCCCACCCCGTCATCATCATCATCATCATCATCATCATCATCATCATCATCATCATCATCATCATCATCATCATCTTCCCTGG